AGCCTCTATCTTAGAAGACTAAATGCACTGTAGATTTTACAAGATGCAAACAGCATGCAGGCTTTTTCCACTCAGATGTCCAATCATTCCTATAATGGGAGCCAAGAGTGCATTATAATGACAGTGCCCTGCATCTCTTCCTCTAATACTTTATTCTTATTTCTGTTAGAATAAATGATGGAGACTTATGCTGAATTTGCAATCACATACTAGTATACTATACTCTTACTACTTTTACTATAGCTTTCTATAGCAAAAATAGTAAGAGTAGTATGCTAGCATGCTGTTCCGGATTCAACATTACTTGTTTTTCGGTCATTGCTGTTGTTTTTTAGCAGACCGGTATCATGCTATTTTCAGTCTGGAGAGGTCTAGCAGTTAATGGAGATGTTTTTTCTTTCTTTTTTTCAATCAGTTTCTAGGCCAAAATCAGATATATCATGTGTCCACCTTTCCAAACCTGCTGGAAGAGAGGCATTTAGAGGAAAAAATGAAAACTGAGATTTCTCAAATTTTGTACAGTAGCTTAGGATGTTCTTTGAGCTAAAAGCTTGCTTTATGTGGGCTCTGTCAAGCAAGTAATGAGCTCAAACTGATAGTAAAGCATATACAGTCGGAACCATATAATGCACAATCTGATGGTGTCTTGTCATGGATTATCATGCATTATTACATTTTAAGAAAAGGGGTTGGTCATTCTCTGCAAGGACATTAAGTTTATGGACATTTCAAAATACCTGTGAAAAATCAATATGCAAAATTCCTTCATATTAACACGCTACATTGGACCCTTTTTTACTGTCTTTTCTTAAAATGTAAAATGGGATGCTTGATTGTAATTGGTCAGTTGTGGCATTCTGTGTTTAAATTGTTGTATAACGATGCTAAAATTTGACCCATGGTCAATCTCATGCCATTTTCTTCTTGTATAAAAATACTTAAAGCTCAAATCCATTTAACAGTGTAATCAAGAACATTTTCGCATTTTTTATTTTGCGATAATGACCGGCTGATTTTATGCCATTCCTTCTATTTGAATGGGCCAATCAACAACCTAAATGTGTTAAATAAACTTGCCTTGGGACTGTAGGGGCTTCACAGTTCATTGCTCATGCATGGAAACAAAGATGTAAGCTCAACATTAGGACCGATTGTAATTTCCTCTTTCCCCAACAGAACGAATGGATGAGGCAGACGACTCTTTGATATCCACAGAGATGAAGGAAATGGCAGTTGCCTGTCAGCCAGATCAAGGTTTTCTTAGGTGCACCAGGCTTTTGATGAAGCACCTTTTAGCAGTCCGAGGCTCAAAGGTAAGATAGAAAGCAATGCGATCTTTCAGCAGCATCTCCTTTTGTGTGTTTTACTCTTCAATACGTGAATCATTTGACTGGCGCTTCTATCTTCTCTTTTAGCCATTTGGCTCTGGTCTCTTGTTAAATGGGGCCTTGATGTGGGTCAAACACATGTATCTGAACATGAATTGTTCACAACGTCTCCTTCACAGCCATTAAATGTTGAGATTTTTATATATAGTATATAAAAAAAATATAGTAAATCCATAAACAGAATAGGGCTGTATCATCATATTGTTGAAGCATTTAAACTGATCAAATATGAGGCACTTTGACAAACATCTTACCTTTCATCTCCTTAATTGGCTTGAGGTCTTTCTTTCTCATGCTCTCTTTCTCTTTCCCACTCTGTCTGTGTCATTAATTATTAAATATCAGAGAAAGCCTAATTACATCTGAACAGCGTGACGCCATTAAGTAAATTGTCTGAAAAATTGGTACAGCGCAGCATACAGAGCTTTTTCCATCATCTTTCTGAAGATACAGTATCATTCTTAATGGACCGCTCTCTACATTTGCAATTCAGAGGCCCGTTTAAAAGAAACAAAAAAGACAGACAAAAAACATTGGGTCTCATTCATGAAACATTCGTAAATATACGAGTAAATATGCGAGTGATTTGCGCGTAAAGAGACCTTCCCGAAAACTCTTCTCCTGATTCACAAATACTTCGTAAACGTCAGATGTGATAGTGAAATGTGTGTGTGTGTTAATAAATTCCAATCAGTCGTAAATGGGATGCGCGTGCACATTCATTCTCAATTACCATAAATCCCGCCCATTAAATCCGACTGACAACTATATATGGGCATCATATTATGACACATCAAAAATTCTCAGATGCAGAAATTGAAGTTTTATTATAAGAAGTTCATTCAAAACGCCACATTTTATTTTCAAATGTACATAGTGGCGTATCGGGTCTTAAAAAAAAGGAAGCTTGGCAGCATATTACAGATGCAGTTAATGGAGTTTCATCTGTTAATCGAACATTCCCAGAAGTGAAAAGAAAATGGTTCGACATTAAGCTTGAGAGCAAAAAACGAATTTGTTTACTTCGGAAAAATAGTATTAAAACTGGAGAAGGACCACCATCGCAGATGCTATTACTGGCTCTCATAATAAGAAAAAACGTATGTAATTACTATATATAATTTTTTTTCTTCAAAATGCTGTGCAAATATGTACCCGATTAAGGTGAATTAAAATGCAGCCTTATTAATGAGCAAAACGTTCGGTGTTAAGCGGACTATTTACGCGTGGCTGGGAGCAGGTGTAGATTTCTTGTGTACCAACTAACATTTGGAAAATACGAACATTTTAATGAATCCGAAAATTTACGCCAGAACCACTTTACACACGATTTACACAAAAATTTGTTCTGCTCGTGTTTCATGAATGAGACCCATTGTGTGCAATGCGACTGCAATTACTTTAATATCTACTAGGTCACAAAACAGAAACAACATGGTGGATGTATTACTTGCAAATTTCATTTATACTACCCATATTCATACTATAGAATGTACTATTTTAAAGGTTTTGAAGTTAATTCAAATTCAAATGTAGTACCTACTCAGCAGTACAGTACACACCAATTGTCTTAACAAGTGAGTCATTGAATCATTCATTCAAATGATTCGTTCAAAACTGATTCATTCAGGGACAAAACAAGTGTTTTTATGAGTGAGTCTATGAATCGTTCATTAGACCAATTTGTTCAAAAACTCAGATTCATTCAGTAATTAAATGTGTTGCTCTGAGACGCGCAATGGCTCTACTGTGGATTTTTTGGAACTATTTTCGTTGGTGAAATAGAGCAAATCAACAATATTCTAAAAAATGTTCTAAAATATTATACTTCTTGTTTATTGAACTGTTATATAAAATATATAGGTCTATCACATTTGCAATCATGCTGATATTCGGGAAAACAGCACACTTGATTGTGTGGTATTGCTTAACTATATCCTGTCATAAATATTAAAAACAAGAACTTTTGCCCCATATCTTGAATTTTGGGGACATTTTTGCTCCAAGCCCCCTTTAATTTCTTTCCCTGGTGTGTCCGCAGAATGATCTTTTTCGAGCACAAGCGGAGACCCCTTCTGTTGCGAGGCCTGTTCAAGAGAAACGAGTGAAACCGAGCAAAGGCCGCTAATGGTTGCAAAATAATGTAACATCTGTCGATTTTTTTTTTTTTTTTTTTACACTCTAAGCTACAAATAAAGCAGCTTCAATATACAACACATTGTAAAATACACTTTAACAATTCAGAATTTATTTAATTAAAATACATTTGAAACATCCAGTAAAATTATATTTCAAATATTTACTGCATTTTTTTTCTTTTCTTTTTTTCTTTTTCTTTTTCTTTTTTTAAAAAAAAAAGTTATCACAAACTGTACACATCATAACAACATACATAGCGATCGTTTTAGTTGTCTGGTGCAAATATGACAAAAAATCACTGAGAAGCAGTTCATCAATAGCTCGACAAGAAATCATCTCAGGAAGTTGAGTGCTAATCAAAACAGTTGTACAATTTTTAGAAGCCATTACACAATATATGCAAATTGTGTATAAAGTTATTCAAGACCACGAGCCCATAGTACAAACCAACCACCAAACGATCCATAGAAATGCACTTCAACAAGATAACAATTCGAAGAAATTCTCAAGTATATACACGTGCCAGCAATGGCAAGTTAAATTAAATAAAAATACTACCTCTCAGAAATAATATCTAAACCATTCACCATTTCTAAACCATATTTAATGTACTGGTATCAGCATGCTACAAGAATACTTCATCTTTGTTCTATAACTCTGACCGAGCTCTGGGGCAGAAGCACTGTCTTCATGTGCAAATCAAAGTTAACAGTACACAGCCGTTTGTGTAATTGCCATGATTGCATTATTACTCAATGGACACACCAGAAAACACTCAGAATACCAGCTTTAAAAAGATGGTGTGCAATTACCATGGTATACCATATTATTTGCATACTGACTGATTAGATGCGGGATGATTTCACTCAATGAATATTAATTCTCTGACATAAGAAAACTCGACTACAACACCAATTAATCAACAGGCAAATTTATATTGTCCATTCCTTTTTTCAAATGACCACAACATGTGAATATTGTATCAGTTGAGCCTGCAGTTTGTGTGGTTGGCACCTGTTATTTCACAGTTGAAAGAAAGAAAGTTTCAGTGGCTTTAATTCCTTAGTTTAGATGTTATTAATTTGGTTAAAAATAATGTGTTTTTTTCCCCCTGAACCAATTTATCCATGAAGAATGCTAAACCTCTTCAAAAAAAAAAAATTCATTACTGATCCATCAACTTTGATTTCCTTTTGACCGTCATCTAAAGATGGATCTGCATATCCTGTAGTATATTTGCTGTAGTATATTAGCCTGATTGAATTATTTATAGCACCTTAAAAGTATTACACACAACTTACTTACAGTGTGCAGTGCCAGACCCCATTACATTTTAATTTACTTTGTCAAGTTTTTCAGGCACAATTATGTTTCTCACTAGTAGTAGTTTCAGAAATCATTGTAATGGAAATATATATTTTTGCCTGTAAGCACAGACAGTCCAATAATACATCAATAATTTAGGACGGGAGAACAGGAGTGGAAGAGGGATGATTGATTCATTTTAGATTTGAGAATTTGATGTTTGGCAAGTGTTTCATATTTTTAAAAAGATTAAAAAATCTTAATGTGAATTGATATGAATATTATCTTGCATATTGATAATATTGGGCATAATCAAAAATTGTATTATGATGTTTGTTCTACTTTGACTTGAGAGAACCATCCTTCTAAACAACAACAAAACACGCTACATCTTTGGCTACTGTGTAAGTCCCTTTTGAACATCATTTTCAGCACATGCTAGCTAAGAAAAAAAGAAGAAAAATTTGTGTCACATTATGACCACTCTTAAGTTAACTTTTAGTGACCTCCTGAAACATTTGCCTGCTAGATTTCAGTGCCTTTATGTACAGTATCTCTTTTTTTTATGTCAATACCTTCTTATCCTGTGTCCATATGCAGTATTACAGCTGAGTAATTGATTCTTTTCCATTTATTTAACAAATTTGAGACGTTCGAGTACAATGAGCATATCATTAGATATTTATTAATATATAATTTAATTAACTTCAATTAAATTTGAATGTCTTTAAATCAGTATACCACAGTTTTATTCGAATAAAGATTCTTTAGAAGCATCAATTAACAAGCAAAGGATTTCACATGATTGTTTCTCCATACCAAACAGGTCTTGATTTCATATTCAAACACCTCTTCTTTTCACTCCCCTAACACTGCATCAAATGTGTCAAATATTTTCACCAGACTGGGGAATATATAACTGAAACGTTCAAGAATATGAAATGATAAGCACTGTCATTTCATGTGTCTGTAACATGTCATAGCATCATTATACTGTCAAACAGCAAGAAGCTTCACATTCACTGTCAGCGAATTTCACTGTCTTTCACTGTCAGCTTCAAAGTGACCTGAAAACTATTGTTTTAGGAGCTCATAAACTCAGCACCAGTAAAAGCAAAATGTCAGAGAAATTGTGAGATTTGGATACATGATTGTGTCTGTAGCAGGAATACCAGTACTGTTTAGTCCTTTTTTCAAATTAAAATGCAACATTACAGGCTACGACTAGAGAAAAATATACCGTATTAATTATACAAACCAAATGTGTTTTGCAGTTAGGATTGTGTGGATTCCAGGATATTATGGGGTCAGTGGGGGTTTTGGGGATGGACATGATCCTTGACTCTCAAAACTGGATGCTCTTCCTGGCCACTGCAGGGACAGATGATACCAAAATATTACAGAAGAGTAGTTTAGGACATATTAGACTTGAATGCACTTGGCATATGGATCCGAATGAGCCCAAAGCACCATATCAGGGCTCAATCTACATAACATTGGCCCTGTTTACACCTGGTATTAAGATGCGTTTTGGTCTGTTACATGGAGTTGTTATCTTATCTCTTTAATTGAACAACATTTAATAAAACTTGCAAGTCCAAACGTTTAAATTTTGCATGGCGTAAAAACAGCAAAATATTGCATCACTTTCCTTATGGGCAAGTGGCATTTGCGCCCTGTTTTCTCCTCGGATTTCTAGTCTCTCACCTCACAAAGTGCATGCCAGTGGGTGATGGGCTTGCGTGGATAAGCTAGCATTTCGTTCCAGTGGTCCCTTCCAAGACCCTCCGCATCCGGCCCTGTCCTGCACACCCCTATCACTTCATTGTGTCCAACTCTGAAAGAGAAACAGAACGCAAGACTTTGTTTTAGAAAAAGTTTTCATTGGTGAGTGGCTTGCTAGACTGAAAAGGATGTACTGTACATTTTAGATCCAGATGCAAAATAATGGATGAACAAAGACTGAGGAAACCAGTTAGCGATCTATTAGCGATCATACTTGACCAACAGGACCTCTTCATGGCTCAACGATGTTTTAACGGCATAATTTGTCTTTAATTACACCGTAGCTGCTGTCTGTCTGGTTTAATAAAGAGTTTTACAAAATAAGACTGTCACTGAATGTTCTCGATTAAGATGTTTGATGCAAATATTTGAATAACAACTGCCAAGCATGTTATCTGACTTAATATTATAATTATCATCATCTTTCATGTCAGAATAATTTATCTTCAGCATGTTGTGAGTTTACACTGGGCTCGGTAAGTAATGGTAAGTAATGAAGTAAAAATACTTTGTTACTTTACTTAAGTATTTTTTTCGGGGATCTGCACTTTACTTGAGTATGTTTTATTTGCATCTACTTTCACTTTTACTCCACTACAATTTTAAAGACAAAGTTTACTTTTTACTCTGATACATTTCCCCATGCCCACTCCAAGTATTTATTACACTGGCTTTCCAAACCAATGAAAAACTTGTTTTTCTTTTGAAAAAAGGAAGGCACAAGCTCTTTGCCAGCATACACTCACATAGCAATCAGTTCGCCATTGACCGCAGAAACCGGTGAAGGTGCAATGATCCCAGCAATGATCCCGAGATTCCTGACAGGGATCACCCATGGCCATATCAATGCTATGTTCGAATTCACTGAAGTCAAGGGAGATTAATATCGGCTGAAATGTCTTCTTTGCCTGCCACGGGTGAATTAAATTTCAGCATTCAAAACTTCACCCTTAAATCTGAGAAAACATATTGAGGTGAGTTGACGTTAAAGCAACACTAAAGAAGATTTTTTTACCTTAAAATAATGTTTCCAAAATCGTTTCAGTGGTTCATCAAGTCGTAACAGGGTGAAAGGCACTTCTGAAAGGCACTTTGTGGTCCTATATTTGGTAGAACCACACTATGTAAGTTTGCCAGATCGGGTTGCGTTTCTTTAGTTCGAATGAGACATAAGAAAACTACGAATTTGACTGCTTTACGGCAAGCGTTACAATTGGACATCATTCACTCTAAAGCCGGTGCTGGATAAACAGTAGTGGTGTGTTTGGTCATCAGTAAACCCGAGAGAGTCCGCATTACACCGATAAACAGCGAGCATGCGTGCGACAGTAGGCTGCGGTAGGCTAAATTATTTACGACAGCGGTAACGGACAATGCCGCTTCTAACCTGTAGGGGGACTGCAGAGGAAAAGTGCTTTAGTGTTGCTTTAATGTTACTATTGTTAGCCAAGTGATTTTATATTGAAACGTGCCTTGTAAACAGCTAGCTAACACATTCTTAATTGCTGTATCTAATCTTATAATTTGTTCAAATAAAACATTGCATATCACTCCCAAAACAATTGATCTGCTTAATTATTGATATTTACAGTTAATTTGAATATTTACTTTTTACTTTCGGTACTTAAGTACGTTTTAAATCGGATACTTTTGTACTTTTACTCAAGTGATGTTTGAATGGAGGACTTTCTACTTTTACTGGAGTAATTTTTTATTTAGGTATATATACTTTTACTCGAGTATAACTTTTGAGTACTTTTACCACCCCTGACACTGGGATAGGCTCTAGTATCGCCATGACCCTACCTACATAGGACAAGCGGTTCGGAAGATGAGTGGATGGAGGTTTTGAATTTGAATGGTAATTGTTTTGATATTATCTTAAAAGCCAGGGACTGACCTGTCGTAATCCATCACCGTGATTGACAGGCTGACCTGCTCCACATTCTCAGGTGGGATGTCGAAAATGATGGCCTCATTATAGATGGGGTTGAGTGTGTTCTTCTTGGTGGTTGTCTTCCGCTTCTTCAGTCTCCGACCGTCACATATGAGGGAGACTTTAACATATGGATCTGTGTGTGTGGGGGGGGGGGGAGCAATGTGAATCAGTTTGGAGCTTTTCAGATTCAAAACACAAAAAATAAAGCTGGTTATTTATCATATTCCACAACCAAAATTTTTTTTAGACTGTGGTAATATTTTAAGCATAAAAAAATTCATTACATGTATTTTCTGTTTAGCTGTCTTAACCCGCATGTTCTGCTTGCAATCTGACAGACCCCACAGGCGTTTTAATATCTCAAAAAAACATATTTGCATTGAAGTGTCAGGTTGATGACTTTTCCTCCTCTTATGCAAACAGATTATGTACAATTTTTTTACTTAATAACATGCATCATATATCCTCTATGACAAATGTTACATCTGTTTGGGGTTACAGAGACCCTAGCCATAAAACAAAATGCAGTTAATTTTAACATGAGATTTTCTGATTTATGTACACACCGTAGAAGGAAACTATTGCCAATAGTCTAATTGGATTTTATTTTATTGGATTTTTCTACAATACATTTTTGTATTTAAAATGCTAATATATTGGATACCAGTGACATTTTTAATCTACCTTGTGATACAATGCTAAAGTTTCAACATTTTTTGTCTATATAACATGAGGAGAAAAGTGGTTAAAACATTAAAGTTATTATTTTCATCATAATTTAAGTCAGGGATGTCCAATCCTGCTCCTGGAGGGCCACTATATCCTTCAATCCTAAATAAATACACTTTTGCCCCATAATAAAAACTTGCAGGCAAGTGCAGAGTAAAAATAAACCTAGAATCTACTCAATAAAAGTGACACACTTAAAGGAATTAGGGAAAGCCTATCAATACATTTACATTACGCAACTAATTACTGAGAAAAAGGGATATTACTTGATAGTTGCTTGACTCTTGATAGATACTGTACATTTAAAATAGCTTCTGTAACTAGCATAACAAATGTTTGCAATGAACAATTAGGAAATTACTGCACTGACATTGCTCATTGAGATGAGCAACATACATTAGAAACTTAAGTCATGTAAAGGTGCTGTATGTATTTTTTTGACTGTAGTAAAGCATAAAAATACCATAATATCTTTGCAGTTCTTTAGCAAACATGCTAAGTGCATATTCTTTTTTCTCCGAAAAACAATTCTACAGCCAGCTATTCTACTTCGAATGTGCGTTCCGTGTTGGAATGTCTGTTTTTGTTTTGGTCCATGAGATCTCACCCACTGCCAATTTACCCAATAGTAGCTGGACACCCCATGTTGCCAGTTGGCGGAATACACAGCGTATTGCAGCCATGGAAGCCAACAAACAAACTGGGTCAGAGATTGCAGATTATACCCAACCTAAAAAGCCTCGGCATCCATCTAAAAAGCTCTATGATTAGAGGCTAATTAAAACGCGGATAAATCAACTTATCAATTGTCAGACTCGTCGCCTTCCATTGTCAATTGCGCTCATTCCTGTTGCATATCCTCAATCTGGCAACCTGCGTGAGCTTTGAGTTTGAGGAGGAGGGGGTGGGGCAAACAACTCTCTAATATTTTGAATTTGGACTGCAGTACCCATTTCAACCACTAGCTGTCAATATTACATACTGCACCTTTAGTAAATTAAGGGAATTTCAGTTTTACATATTTAAGTAGATTGGACCCCTTAAAACTAAGAAAATACACGTTTAGTGTTGCTTTAACTCATTTTAATCACATTTAAGTAAATTTAACAATCAGCAAATCTCAGTTTTACAGTGTGTTTTGGGGTAGGTTGGAGCGAAACTGCAGGACATTGGCCCTCTATCGGAGCCGGACTGGACACCCCTGCTCTAAGTCCCCAAACATTAAGATGGTAATTGTGCCTGAAGTCATTCTCGACAGATTATGAGGGTTAACACTGACCAGAGTAGCCGGTTATGTCCATTGCTTTTAGATTGCGACATTTGATAACGGTGAGGGTCATGCGTCCAGCCGTGGGAAGATAGCAAAGGGAGTACATAATTTCACCCAGATCCACACTCTCCTGAAGGAAGGAAGGACGATAGGAAGGAAGGAAAGTTAGATATCAAAACAAATAGAAAACAAAGAGATTTGACTGTATGATGCCAAGAGATGCCTGAAGCAATGTCTGCACATAACATTACAAACTATTGATTAAATGATCTGCAGGTATCATCCTTTTAGCAAATATTGTAATATGATTTTCCTCTTGAGAGTCTCTTCAGAGAGCCCTTAATACGACTTCAAACAAAACCCTTAATTACTGACCAAATAGACTTCTGGTTGCCTCGCCGACAACTACTCATGTGAAATACGTAGCATGTGAAATATTGGACTAATGTTTGCCCATCAGGTTTAAACTATCTATTTCTTTATTAGATCTAGAGAGTGCATATATATCTCCTTCAAAAACTTTAGTGAAAAAAAAACAGTGACTCAGAAACAAAGTTGTGTACAGAAATATGGCTCTTCTAAGAAATTGAGCTGTTTCCAAGAAGACTTGCATAACGGCTGTGTTTGTGTGGAAGTGTTACTGTGGGACGTATGTTTTGGGTGGCTGGTTCTTTTTCTCAGTTTTGAATGAGACAAATCTAGCTTCCCTGACCTTTATTAGCTTTGCAGAGGCGGTAAAGATTATTCTAAAAGGCCAGTGTGTATTTTGGTATTTACTGCCTCTCAGTACTGGAATAAGACGGCCATTATTCTTTCAAAGGCAACTAAAGATAGTGATTAATCTGTCCTAGTACATTTTAAAAACAGATTGCGTAATAGGAAGAAACGTACATACTTAATAATTAACTGTGTTTAAATTTCAGGTGTGCACATGCCTATTTTTTAGCCCTCCAAATCACATGCCATTTCTCAATACCATTAGTTACATTCAGTATTATTTTTACACAGTTTCTTTTTTTAAAGGATACAATATCTGTTAATTAAATTTAATTAATATTTCACCAAATGTACAGTATACATTTTACTAAATTTTACTCTACAATTATTGTTTTTGAAGTGACTTGTGCTCATCAAAGGTTGGATTCATTTGATCAAAATACAGTATAAATATATTGTAATAGTGTGAAATATTGCAATTTTAAATAACTGTTTTATATTTTATTATATTTTAAAATAAAATGTATTCCTATGATGCAAAGCTGAATTTTCAGCATCATTTCTCCAGTCTTCAGTGCCACGTGAGATCATTCTAATATGCTGATTTAGTGCTCAAGAATAATTTCTTATTAGTTTTGAAAACAGATTTTAGTGGAAACCATGATTATTATTTTTTTTCAGGACAGGAATCCTGAAAAAAAGACAATAAAACATTCACACCTTTACATTTACTGTTCAGCTTTAGCTCAAGCAGGTCAATGCCTGACATTTATTGATTTTTTTTTCATTGATTCATTTGAAAAATATAATTAATTCTAGATTTTTTTTCTTCAAAAATATTCTTTAGTGTAATATTAATATATTGTGGTGCAGTGGGGTTTTTTCTCATATTTTCATCAACAGTTTAATTCTCATAGTCATGTTGCGCATATATATTTATCCAGTCTTTATGTTTTACATTTTTGTCAGAAATTTCGTTGCCGAGATTAACCCCGATGTGGTACCTCCTCTCTGTAGTCTCTCCAAAACCCTCTCTGTCACACCCTATCCTCTCCTTCCACGTCTCTTGTTATCCGCACCACAAATGCTGAGAATAGAGAGCCACGGGCTAGTTCAGGAGTCACGTCTCCTATTGGCGTTCGTGTCCGAAACAATTCACAAATCTTTCTGGGGCAATAATACCCTTCCTGTTTTGACTGTTCAAGTTCCCCTCCTCCAGATCTGAATGGCCTTACCACCGCAGCAATGTGCTCCAAAAACAGAGAACAAAATTAGACCTCCAAACGTCAGAGTAAGATAAAATAGAGGGTTTCAATGTGCAGTCGGAAGTGTAACGGAGCAAGCCTGCAATCTATGGCTCCGACTATTTTAGGAATTGAGTTACTAGCTTCTTTCCACAGTCGGGGGCCTAAGAGCAGCTGGTCTGGTTCTGAGTGTCGGTTTTTGTCCCTAAAGGGCAGTTATGATACTCTCATAACTGAGAACAACAGGTCGAAAACTCTCCACCGCTGTTCCAACACTACACATCAATACTTTTATATTAGCTATGAGGGAAAGCTATAGTCAGTGGTGAAAATGAGAAGGAAATAGCATGAGAGTGATCCAAATGTTATAGCAAACCACAACATAAGTAACTTGACAGGTGCAGATATGTCAACCACACAACAGGAAAATGAATAAATATGCTGAAAACAACACGATCAAGAAATTAATGAGCCTGAAAGAGGTTATTGCGTCAAACAAGTAGGAGGAAGATATTGCTTTTCCCAAACAGGAATGACTCACCACAGAATCTCTGTGGTACACAAAATGAAACGCTGTCACCATTCACTTTTATTTTTGTAGCAGGAAGCCGGTGGAACGTGATTTATAATGCAGCTGAATCACTGTACGCGAGGTGGGTATGACGGACAATGCCTGTAACCTCTACAGATCGTCTAGTTATTGAACAAGTGTGCAGATTACCACTTAAACTAGGGTTTAATGTTCCAGGTCCTGTGAGAAATCAAAGATATATCTTTTTCACTAAGTACACAAACCTTTTTTTCTTTATCCTTAACGTAAAGATAAAGTGCTCAATATTCACACAATGAATATTATAATACAATTGAAACATTCTTTAAAATATCTTCTTTGTTCTGCAGAAGAAGGTCATACAGGTTTTGAATGACAGTGAGTAAATAATGACAGATTTTTTGGTGTACTATCCCTTTAAGAAGTGCTGTCCTTAGAAATCCCCCATAAATACCATGACTGATGCAGTTACATAAGCTCTGATATATTAACTGAGGCATAATGAGTGGGTGTCTGACTAAGAAACCTAAAAAAAGGGCAGAAATTGCTAATGTTCTTTTGTCATAGTCCTGAAATGAAGTGCCGGTAACATTTTTTTTAATTGTACTCTGAAGTCAGTGGGACGGTAGGACAAACTCAATTCCACACCTGTTGTTTGAAGGCTCTGGCTTGATAATCATGCTTCCTGTGGGTCTGGAAACTGGCAATTGGATCTATTTTTGGAAGAGGTATGCGGGTGCCCTGAAAGGGTGAGTCAGTTTGGAGATGAGCCCTCCCCCACACCTGGCTTTACATAACAGATCAATCTATCTGTTGATGAGATCTTCACACTCATGGAGTCAATGTTTCTGTTTGGTTTGAAGTATATGACCAGTTAGTACATATGTGAATACAACTGTCCTTGTACTTTCGATGATATAATAGACAGTTGTTGGCACTCGTAATACTTAAGCTATAGTTTTTAATATTTAGCCCATAGGAAGATGAATTGGAATGACAGGAAGAGGAATTTACTGAAATTTCTATCTATCTATCTATCTATCTATCTATCTATCTATCTATCTATCTATCTATCTATCTATCTATCTATCTATCTATCTATCTATCTATCTATCTATCTATCTATCTATCTATCTGTCTGTCTGTCTGTCTGTCTGTCTGTCTGTCTGTCTGTCTATCTATCTATCTATATATCTATATATCTATCTATCTGCCTGTTTGTTTGTATGTCTTTCATCTGTCTGTCATTCTATATATTGTTCTATCTGTCTGTCTATCTATCTATCATTCTACCTATCATTCTTTCGTTCTATCTTCTATTCTATCTATCATTATATCTATTGTTCTGTCGTTCTATCTATCTATCTATCTATCTATCTATCGCTCTATCTATTGTCCCATCTATTGTTCTATCATTCTATCTATCATTCATTCTTAAACCTCCAAGGCTTTTTAAACAAGACTTTCTTCTTGTCAAGCCATTATTCAGAGCTTACAGTTTATAGTTATATGAATTTCTTTGAATTTCAATTAATTTCAATTCTATTTCCTTACATTCACATTTTAATTGCAATTCTGCATCCTGTTTGCAACTTCAACTCAAATTCAATTCAAATTCAGAAATTGACTTTAAAGAAAGTTCATTTAAAAGGCATTCTCAATTCAACTCTGTATGACGAACATCCCTGCCAGAATCTGGTCTTATTGAGGTATCTGAGGAAAGTATGAACTATAATTTCTATACGCACAAGGGCTGTACTTACTGTAGTAGCTGCGAGGATGTCCTTCCAAACCACAGCTTCACGGGAAAGGTCAGACAGCTCAAACAGGTTGTCAACCACCACCTCACCAATCATGTCATGACTTGTAAAGCGGTCAAAGTCGTACACGCTGAAGTGCAACTTGCGATTGCACAGCTCACTGTACTCCACAGGGAAGCTGAACGCCTCGTCGAACGTGGGGTTGAGCGTCTTGCGGTGGACCCTCGTCTGAAACTTCTTTTTGCGGTCTGGAAGCAGGTAGATCTTCACGTAAGGGTCGGAGGTGCCTGTGAAGTCTTTGGCGGGCAGATCCAGGGCCTTTAGAATGCGAACCATAAGAGCTTGTTCCTCATAGTCGTAGCTGAGGGCAAAGCTTAGCTTTCCGCAAGTCTCCACCGGCTCCTTGTTTCCTTCTTCAGAGTCCACAGACTTCTGCTTGTACAGCTCAGGTTTGATGCGGCCGATACTGACTGTAGAAGACTGACGCACGGGTAGAGTGTCCATGGTGAAGTCCACACTGGTCACATTCATCTGCCGCGGCAGGTGTCGGCGGAAAGAATTGTGCCTATGAAGAAGGAGAACTTTTATAGTTATTTGTGAAAAAATGTATTAAAAAATATTAGTTTGGTCTTGCACCTTGTGTTGGGGAAAACTATACTAGTCAAACTGCTCTTTTAAAAACTTAGAATACAAGCTACTATCAAAAAGTAGCTAAGAACAATGCATTTGAAAATATATCAGATTATAATTTAAAACTTAATCAAAGCAGTATTTATGAGGGATTGAATCAATCAATCAATGAGGGTGATAGCATTACATTTAAACAGATAAACATGAGTAAACACAACAAAAAATAATAATATTACTGAGGTACTTGAATCAGTGAATCAATTTGATTCTTTTTGAATTAAATAATTTACAGATTCATCTAAATTAAGTGACTCACTAAAATGAATGGGCACTATATACTGTATGCAAGAGAGGATGTCACTATAGGGAAAAATGTTAAGTAGGTAGCAATGCTTCTTTTAGTTAAAGTTACTCCTCAGCACTGGAGTGGACAACAAGAACTGTAGTATGGACCCTTTTCACACACTGTGAGGATGCGTTTCCACAGTTATCAACATTGCAAATCTTGTATAGAAAATAATTAAAATATATATATTTTTAAATTGAATATAGGCCTACATAACTGCTAATACCTGCTGTAAGGGTGCTTTTACTACAACGGCTGAGGGAGCGATGGCAAATTTCACATCATTCTCTCTTCTGACCGCTGTTATCAGTCTCTCTATTTTTGCTGTCGTCTCTCGATCATTCACCTCTAAATAAAGTTGACTGTGAAGACTTCCGCTTCTGAAAACCCCGGAAATGTGGAAAAAGGGTCCATCGTGTTCCTCTTCAAACTTATTTTATTCCATTTTTAGCAACTTTTACTTTGTAGACCTCACAATAGAATATCACAATAGGTAGGCCTGGATCTGGTAGGCCTGGATCTTTTTTTCTTTTCTTTTCTTTTTTTTTACTAGAAAACCTATTTTGAACACTCGTCATGACTCCTGAGGAAATCGTAGTTCTCTACTTATCAATGGTGTTTCCTAGCAACTAGCACCTTTAGGACGATGACAACAAACATATGACAATGACATTGTGTTAAAAAAAAAAGTGATGGATTGTATCATTTTACTGACTTGTGATATTAAAATGTGCTAAATTCTATGATTAATATATTTGTTTTTCCAAATGAATCTTTCCACCATTTTTCTCACTTGGTCTCTTATCATCACTGTCAGTCTGTCTCTCTCTCTTTCTACTTTGTCCAACTCTGTCTGTCACCTGCACATGTATGCTGCACATTACGCCTTGCAATTTGCACAAACGTCCCAGAACAATGTGATGATAAATTAAAGAGAGACAGAGTAATTAACTGCTGTCTTCGGCTGTTTTGAAGAGCACTTCTTTCGAAATCCAGTATTTGATGGCAGTGGTTCTGAAATATCTTGCCAAGCGTAATGAATGAGTCTGCGAGAAGTCAATGCCAGAATTCACAATTTGTATTTCTACTCTCCCATATAAGAGATTACAGAAGATGAAAAAGGAGGTGGAAATGTTCAAGTCTTATTAGCCAGTCACATGTTGCAGAATACACTGAACTACAAACTATCCTCTCAGCTCAATTGATCTTGGTTTTAGTTCATGTAAGCTATCTAACAATAGTTTTTTTTATCATATTACAGCAGAAGGACGTTCATTTTTGCAGGCATGGGTATCATAACACATGCTCATGCATAGTTAAATTGTGCATTCTTCAATAAAAGCTTTTGACATATAGCACTAAAGAAACAAACCTGAATTCCAGCTTGAATACCAAAGGCATTTAAATGGATATATTACTTTGATATTTGGAAAATAATGCTCTTTATTACAGCACCCAATGGGTTGTGGCTGCAAATCGTTTCTAAGAAATCTTCACTTGAGGCATTGTAAAACAGTAAAGAGTTGTATAATAATAATAGCATTTCATATATCCTCAGTTTCTTCCCCAAAGCTAAATGATTTAAAAACCTCTTAGTAGTGCATTAACTCGTTAGCAATAGTTTAATTATCCTCTCTTCGGTAGTTCAGCTCACTTTAGTGATCAACCTACCATTTCAGAGAAACTAGCTTCACATTTTCGCCTATTTTAAAGACTTTTGATCAAGGTTTGCCATCATCTCATGGCATATTGGCCAATTTATTATTTAATAACTATATTTCTTCTTAGAGTGAAAATAGACAAGTCAAAGTGATGTACTTACAGTGATAGCGGAAGTTATATTAGAGGAATGACGGAAGAATAGAAAAAGAAAACAGAAAATGTTCCAACCCAAGTACACCTAAACGGTCTTTCACAATGACATTTAAGCAGCTTCATTTGGCCTTTCCGTGCAACTCATTAACATGAAGACACCTCATTTGTTAAGCTGCATTGAAGTTTTTTAATGATATTTCTGTAGCTTGTCAATAATGGATTCTACGAGGAATTGAGCACAGCTGTTCCTCCTTACTCCAGTCGGACAAACAGTCGCAGCATGTCAGTGCTATTGCGTGGCAACACTAATTACATCCCTGCTTACTTTAAACACTGTGCCACACGAAACAAAGAGAAGAAGAGCTGATTGTTTAATTGCTAAGATCACTAAATGCTGTTGCCATGGCAATGTGACACTAGGCCTCTGATTGGTGAGCTGCAGTGATTAATGGACGTATTCAACAACCAGATGTACCAAAACCCTTTCAGCGGGGTAAATATGTGAAAATAAGTGATTTGTGATAATGGTATAACACCAGAAATATAGAATAATTAGAATTTTAAAGCCCTAATTAATTCCCATTAATTGAAGTGCTGGACATTATTATTATTAATAATTGTTATTATTGGTAAATTGTTAATTGTTTAAAATATGGACCTTGTTTATTTGTTTTTTAATGTGAATTTAATTGCACAATTTGCATATTAATTGTTAAAATTTTGGGGAAATATAGTATATACGCTGTATTTTTATTTTGTTTTTATAAATGTATAAATGCTATTGTACATGCTTGTGTGGCTTAATCTACTTTGTAGCTGTGCATTGGCTTAGATCCGGTTGATTTATTTCTAGCTGGAAGTCAGCCATGTAAAACATAAATGTGGATGTTTCATAAATGGAAAAAAAAACACAGCTGCTCTGTCATTTCCTGCATTTAAAGGCACACACTTATAACAAATCATTCAGTATGTGTTAATCATTCAGTAAAGGCAGCCCTTCATTAGCACATCCTCTCAATTGCACCAATTATACGTTCTGTTTTCTAAACTAGATATGAGTTAACTCGAGTAGTAGTATTGAAATGAGTATCCCTCGTCTGTAGTGTCATTCAACGTGCAATCAAGCATCAAAAGTAGATGTAATTCATCATCATGTAATTGGCGTATCACCTGGAGGACGAGGTAGGTTCAGTGGTCTGCCTCTGGATTTTGGCCTGTTTGGTAAGACACCCCCGCAGAGCCTGCTGCACCTCAGCAGGGATGTCTGGTGACGTCTGGCTGATCTTCATGGCCGCCTCCAGGATCTTAACCGAGCTGCGGCCATTGACCTTCACTTCTGGTACCTTCCTCCTTTTGTCGTCCTCATCCTCTTGCTGGACTTGCGATGGCTGTCTTCCCACCATTGCAATTGCCTTGGTCTCAGGATGAGGAGAAACAGAACGAGACAGTGGAGGTTGGGCCGGGGGGGCCTCAGGCAGCACCCCCGGCGGGCAGCGGTCAGCATTGGACGAGAGCGCCTTGCTTCTCCAAATGGGCCAGCACAGCTTCCAAAAGACAAAGAGTGAGACTACCAAAAGGGCGAGCCCACAGAAACCTACGACCACAGCTAGGAGACTTACAGAGATGTCTACAGGCAACAAGAGGAAGAGAGAGCAAAGAAAAAGAAGCAAGTATGTGAAGATTGGAAAGAGATGGAGTGTGTTGAGGAGATCATAAAGAACAGAGGGTGAGAGGAAAAAGAGACGAGGATAGGTAAAGAGATAAATTAACACCAGACGGGCAGACAGAGCACCAGCAGCAATAAATGATGCATGACAGACAAACAGGAGAAAGAGGGAGAGAGAAAAAGAAAAGAAAGAGAGGGCAAGGTATAAGAAAAAGAAGACTGAAATGTGCTTTAGTAAAGCAGAGTTCAGAGTCATTTTGCTCGTCTTTTCATGCAACCTAATGAAAAATAGAGCATAAAAAGTAAGTTCACAGGCACTCAACAACAAACCCGCTTCAACGTTTTCTTTTCTTTTTTTGCATAAAAACATTAAATATATCACAGTGTTGATGCTGAAAAAGGTCTCTTAATGAGTGGCACTGTTGAACTGTCACGTGTTCAACAGGTGCACGAGTTTCAGCTGCCTAATGCACTGCGCAAATGCAACACATAATTATAGTTGTTTGCAGTATCATGGAGTGAGTTTTAACACCATACTGCTAATGGTGATACTAACCAATAAGAAATGAGCTACAGGGATGAATCAATCTCATACATCACCACCACCCCTCCTGAGATGACTGTACAGTGATAAAATAGCATCTGCATTAGCATGTAGTCATTTCATTTAATTCATTTCTGGCTTCTGCTGCACTCAAGGCCATATGACTCTATTTTGAAAGTTGTTAGCCTGTGACATAGGTATTTCTGTATTTGTTTCATTTTCATTTTCTCTGAATTACATGTAAAACAAAACATACTGACAGATTTAAACCGATTTCCACAATGAATGCACAAATTGTCCATGGTTTTGCATTAGTGTTATTTGCTCTAATTTGCACAGTTTACAGATAGGCTGTTTTAAAAACTACTTTCGTTAACACTTTGTTTTACAGTGTCCTTTTTGCACGTATGTAGTTATTGTATTAACTATAAAGTATGCATAATTACATGCGACTAAAACAAACCCTAACCATATAGGTACATGTAGTAAGCACTAATTATTATTACTCAGTAAAAAGGACACCTTAAAATAAAGCGTAACCCTTCTTTAATTTGTTGCCAACAAATTCGAGCAAAAACCCTGAGTTACAAACGTAACAAAATGTGTATGCACGTTTCTGTCGATTAAATGTGTGCGTTATTCTAACGTCTCCATTTGTAGTACAGTTATCCATTTACTGTGTTTTATCGGGGAAAACACACTCGCGAGTTGTGTTGCTTAAGTATTTCATGAAAACGTCTTGCGCGTAATATTATATATCATTGAAACAAAACTCAGTAAACGAACAGAGTTTCAAACTTGTTGCGCATGGTACTCTACAAGTAGAACCGTCTCCTGACTGTACGCTGGCTGATTTCAGGTTAAGAATGTTTCCGTGACTGCGAGCGAACTATTAAAACTTTCAGTGCCCTGGATTCGTGCACTCGTGCTTTGAAAAAGTTTTCTCATTAACTGGCTAACCAAAGTTCCTGGAGAAAATATGTTTGTGAGAGGATAATAGAGCGTCGTTTATGTTAAATTTACCTGAACTTCCTTTACCTGGTATGTTGCTCTCCAGAGGAAATATATCCGCGCATTTTTCCCGGTCGACGTGCCCCGCGAGGCAGAGCTCCGTCACTATTTGGAGAGCCCTTTGGCACAGGCTGACGCCGTCCTCTGTGCGGACATTCATGTCTTTCCTGTTAATCCATTGTATGTTGGACGATGCGTGAGGGCGAGGGTTCATTGGGGCACCATGTGAGCTGCTGAGTGCAGCTGATGCGTAAGGGAATGGAGAGAGAGTGACGCGTTCAAGTTCATGTCCTCCGCGCAAAGGCGCACCAGATTCTTTGGCGCAGTGGAACATAGGGGCACATCTACACTGCCCAATAGGAGACACGCGTTGTCTAGAGAGGGAGGATCATACTTTCTCATTATTTAGGAAAAAAAACACAGTTCTTATACAGTAGAACATGGATTTGCTTTATCATAAAATGACAAAGAGACTGAGCTGTAGGCTACACTACCTTGTATTATCAACAGTTATTGTCCATGGCTTTCAAACTTGAGATGAATCCGTAAAGCTGTATGGCCCGCAAGAAGTACAACACACACATATCATTTTTATATAATTTTTTTTTCTTTTTCTACTCTTTGAAGGTTGTAATTTCTATGACGTCTTGCAGTTTGAAATTGGATATCTGTTTATCAATCAAATAGTTGTCAGATAATTAATGTACCTGTCTTAACATCTGTGCACACATTCTTCTTTTAAAGCTCTTTGAATAAGTTTTGCTTAATAGTTTTTTTGGCAACTGTTTCCTTTAATCATTCCATTATGAGATTTTTCAAATGTACTCTTGTGTTGTCAGATGTAGAAAACAAGTCAAATATGACTAGACATTGTATTTAATAGAACAAAAGAGGAATGGGAATGCTCGTCTGATAAATGAGAGAACACTATGTACTTGGCTCAGTGCTGTTCATAGAGTCTGACAATCTCCTTGACAACCAAACGCAAACTGGGGAGCAGTTGAGGCATCATCCTCATGCAGACCCATGTGCATGTGGCTTTGCCCTGTGAAACCATTGGCTTTAGAGAATGCGTTTGTCTCATGCTAAACAGGTGCGCAGAGTTTTGCCTGAGTGATTATGTATAGGCAGACTGAATACAGATACATAAAAGTTAATGGGTTCCCTCAAACACTGATTGACCCAGCATGTGGACTTGGCAGATTTACTATTTTGTCCCATTAAAAACAAAAAAACAGAATTAATTAGGCTACCATAATTTAAAGTTTAGTAAATCTTCACATACATCTCAGTACAGTCTAATGTTGTTGTTGTTGTTCTTTTTCTTCTTCTTGTTGTTGTTGTAATTAACATTTTAATTAAGTTTAATTAGATTAACATTTAAAAAAAAAGTACATTTTAACATTAACTTAATATTGTCACGTTCAGTTTTGGTTTCTGTTTCATATTCATGGACTTCGAATACTTCCCTTCTATATAGTATGCGAAAAACAGTACAGGAAAAGAGTAGTATATCTGAATACATATTCGGAAAAAAATTGGCGAAAAGTTCACGGATGACCTGCTACTTCCGGCGAGATTCTGAAGTGCGCATTCGATGGACACTTTACTATTCCATGAGCCCATGGGAAAGGATTTATGAATGGAAGTGAAGCAACACAACTGACACGGGTTCACACACAGGGCTTAGATTAAGCCAGGATTAGGCCTTAGTTTAGTTTGGACATTTAAGTAGCTTTTATAAAACTTCCTTAGAAAAAATAAAAACATTACTGGTGTGCATCTTGAGACAAAACAATGGCACTGACATATTTTAAGATATATCAGTGCAAGTTGCTTTCAGATGAAACAGCTCAAGCATGCTTTTTAGTCTAGGACTTTAAGCCTTGTCTGTGAAACCAAGGGCTAGTATCTTAGAGGTGCATGAGTGTGTGTGCGCGCCATGTGCTGGGAATGTCTCTTTCCAGGAATGACAACCATGAAAAAGATTGCCATCAAACAGTACTTACTCTCAGGCTTAAGTGGCATGTTATTTGCTTGTGAAGTCTCCTCAGTGTGCTAGCAATAGGGGCTGTCCATGCTGAAATGTAATTATTAGAGGCTGTACTTAAAGCTGAGAGCCACTCTTGTGCTGGAAAAAGTTCAGATGAATGTTAATGTGCACAAGCCAATGCAATAAATGCACCACTCACTACTGTTCTACTCAAATTAGCATAGATAATGGCAGGTGTCTCACCACATTGGTTGTCAAGTCAAGAATAATGGCCATTGTTCTCAATAGTCATTGAATATTGTGAAGTGAAGTGACGTGACATGAAGGCAAAGTATGGTAACCTATACTCGGAATTTGTCCTCTGCATTTATGGATCATAGCCTCTGCTGTGTGTGCTAATTCCATCATTTGAAATCAATTCTTAAATTAGTATATTAGGATATTTTTCATTAATTTCAGTGGCACGGTTCCTATGGCACGCCATTAAGAGCAGATGCTCCCATGGCTCGCATCTCTGCAAAAACATCCATTAGAGCAGCAGGAAGATTCTCTTTGCAGAAACCCAAATTACGTTTCCAAGTTGCTCTTTATTTATTGTGAAAATATCACTCTCTCACCATGGTGGTCGAATTATCACTTTTCATGATATTGAGAGCTCTTTGAGAGATAAAACAAATACTGTGCAAGGACTTGTTCTTCAATGTTAGTACATTTCAAGCATGTACAAATGAGTATAATTGGGTTTATGAAGTATGGCAGATTTTTTAATGCTTGATTTTTTTGTTCTGTCAATTTTCTGACCTCCTTTGTGCAATCATACTCCAAAATAAAGATACAAGGACGTTTCCTCATAGGCTTTTGTGTTTGAGCAGTAGTATACAGCAAATGCATGTTGAAGTGTAATGATGTGTTTTTTGTTGTACAGTATAAGAGGTGGAAAAAGATTAGATTGGTGTGTGGTTAAAAAAAAAAAAATCATGCTGACCTTTAACCAAATCAAATGCGAGTACTTGTTTCTTCTGTAGCTGATGGACCACTAATTACAAGCTGTTGTTTTCCCTTAATCACATGCTTAACAGACACTATCCTAGGGTCATGTGTATAATTTGCTATAATAACATCATTTCTCATTCCTTTAAAGGTTAAATTAATTCTTCATCTGATGGTTCACTGCCCAAGAATCATTGTCGAATTGTTGAAGTGATCCCTGTTAAACCGAAGTAACAGCTTACAATGATTTTTTAGACATCATTTTTATGTTTCCCTAGCTAACAGGTGCTAATAAAGGACAATTACACATTGAATATGCATTCCTGAAAAACTGTACAGTAAATACATTAGTAAAAGCATGTTAGTTGTCCTCTCAGAATAACTGCTGTATGTCTGTCAATGGAGAACCTAGAGAAGCGCACATTCACAAACACGCTCTAAAATTTCAGATCACATATTCATACACGCACACACACACACACACACACACACACACACGCACATCTAAAGACGGTTAGTGAGAGCCTCATACTGGGCTGTTCTGAGTGATTACCTCTGCATGGCTAACCCTCCGGACACCCCCTGGGAAGTCATTATTCATAAAAGAGGTGGTTTTCACAGGACTATAACATTACATACTGCATGTCTATCAGTTATATTCTGAAATAAAATGTATAATAGCTACTAGCTGGTAATATGCTTCTTGCAAGCTATTAGTATCCCTGAAACAATGTTTTGAAGGCTGGCATTCCTGCAGCTTTCAGTTTCTTTTGATCATTCATGGTCATGCCATTGTCAGACCAACATGTTTGCCTGATTCATTTAAAAGCATTCCTTACAGCCAGTTACTATTGCAATTGTGCCAATGCGATAGCACAGCCATTACAGAAGCCAATATAGTATTCTCATAATTGACATAATTACCTGAGTGTACTAATTGTTTTGCCATTTTCAAACAAAAATACTCAAATATTTCATTTTCATTACGCATGTTCCTGCTTCCACCATTGTCCAAGAGGATTTAATCAAAAGGAGAGAGCTTGACTAATAAAAATCAATTCTTGCATCCTCTTGTTGGTGCTATCATTTCAAGGATCACCATGGTAACAAATGACATTAAAATGTCAAAACAGCAAATTGGAAACAAATTGTACAGACCGTTACAATCAGGTCTGGTTGTTTAATAGTAATTTGACAGTGTATAGGAATATCTTGATTGTTCTAACAATGTGTGATTGTAAGTAATGACAGTAAGATGCTTTTTATAGTAACTATGTTGGCAATGTCTATTTTGGAGATTTGTGAAAACAAACAAAAAAACAGATGTAGGTATTACATCTGAAGATATCTTTATCAGTGTTTTAAAATGATGCCCAAAAACATTATATAGTGATGTTGTCAATAGCTACCCTCACAAGTCTCCCAAAACACATCCAAGGCTTCACATGTGTGTTTGTGAATATCCCCATGCAAGAATGCTTTGGACCACAGCTTTCCTGTGAAACAGACATTCACCATTCATCAGCCTTGCTCTTTGATTGCCCCGTTGCCAAGGCAACCCTGTCGCCAGTCAATACTGGTTGGGGACTGCCGGTGGAGGTCTTCCCTACCGCCTAGCTAGGCTATAATTAAACTCAAATTAGACAGAGCCTCCACCGCTAATCTCCGCCACCGGCTTTTTGTACAATGCAGTGGGCAGGGATAGAAAGGAGTGTCTCATCATGAGCAGTCCTGCTGCTATAGTGTGCTTAATGGATGTGGACGAGCCCTACACGCCACATTAAACTAGCGACAATCACCCTGCACTGCATCTGATAGGTTACCGGAAATATTTACAGAAGGAACTGGGAAATTTGGGGAAATTGGCCATTTGCTGCTTTTATTTAAATCGGTTATTAATGTGGCCAGTCGGTTGCAAAGTGAGACCTTCATGGAGTGGCTTAGCTTGAAGCTTAAAGGCAACATGATGGAAAAAAGATGTCTGTGAGCAGTAACTCTCTAGCGACTCTCTCAGCCCTCTAGGTCAGTGAGACATTAAACCCTCATCCTTACAGCTTGCTGTCCAGATCTTTGACTCAAAGGCAAGCATCACCATATTTATTATGCTGGAAAAACAGCTTGTAAATTTGATTGTTTATCTGCGCTCTCACATGTTTCTCTTAAAAGTGTCCTCATATGACTCAGTGGAAACATTAATACATCAGAGAATATTGAATCATTCACAGGGTCATGTTCTGTATGAAACAGGCTTTGCAACTCTTGAATATCTTATAGATGACAGAAGTCTTCAAAGTTGCTGGCAAGTGTAGTTATTATCCTCTCAGCATCTGAT